TTATCTCCTATAATGTAATGTGGATTTTAACGATACCCGTTTGACCAACTTGAGAACACCCCCGTCCTCTCTTGTTGCTCTGATTCCGTGCTGGTTGTCTCCTTGACTTGTCCTGCACCTGATCACCAGCACCACTTTCCCACTTGGCTGGTCACCTGTTCCAGTCAAGTCTACTAATGGTCCAGCTAAGTCCCTGTGAACCACTTTCCTACTCGACTGGTCACCTCATCCAGTTAAGTCTCCTAGTGGGCCAGCTAAGTTGCAAGCTATCTGAAAACCCTTAACAACGCCCCACACTCGGGCACCTTTCTAAATTGCTGAATTGATCGAAACGATCGGTCTTATAAAAACAGTATGGGTATACTATTTAATTAATATAAAGGTTTGATCCAACTAATCTGGTGTCAAAGTCAGTAATTTTTTAGTTTTATGGTTTTGTTCCTTTTTCTATTCTTTTTCGCTTTTTGTTTCGTTTTTTGTCTTTTGCTCAGTTTTTCGTCCCCCTAGTTACCCCCTTACTCGGTTAGCTAAGCCTCGTTTGGAGAGCATACCAGGAAGTTTTCTCGAGTTTTCTTAAAAAGCTATCACGGTACAACCGGAAAGTTTATACGTTCCCGCTGAACCGTACCACCGGTACTCTAGAATGGGCATGTAGCCCGGAGCTGTGTCAAGTGGGTTCGACTCCGTAGTCATGATGTCGTAAAAAGACCCAGGAGCGCCATAAAAACACTGTGTAACAGTCGCCTACTTTTGTCACATATGAGGTTAAAGAAAAATAGGCCCTATAACCATTGGCTCAAGCGTCAGGGACACTATCTCTTGTGTTTTTCCACCTCGAACGGTCGGAGACAATTCGGTTCCCTTGCGACATGAGACTAAAAACCCGTTACAGCTTAAAGACCACTACAAAAAAATATATCCCCCCCCCCACTCTAGAAAATAAGAACGTCCCCATACTTAGGTCTCAAAATACCCAAAATACGCGAACTCCGTTAAAAACAGGGTCGGAACAGTCCTTACAGTTACTTTTTATTAGACAGTGAAACTTTGATCCATTTCAGATGGATCAACCTAAAACTCTCCTTACCTCAACATAGCAATCATAAAACACACTCAAGAAAACTAAATTGAGTACTCACATATCGGCACACTCGAGAATTGGGATAACTAAATTAATCAGTAACTCTAGCATTAAGTATAATAACTGGAGAAGTTTGCTACTAATAAATTCCAGCAAGGGAAATAATTTTTGACTCGAGAATTAAGTTTTGGAACTGGACCATTGGGATACCCCAGCTGTCCACCTTTCCACTGAGAGTTCGCTCTGGTTCACTTCTTCTTTGTCTTTGCTCTGTTTACAATCGCTCTGCTTCCTATTCAGGATAGGACAGCTCTGCTCGCGTTTTATTTATATCTGGAAATTGCGAATAGTAATTTCCCGCTGCTTTTTTTCAAGTACTTTCCCGCGATTGCAATTCGTTTGTTCTGATCTTGTCTTTGAGATTTTCAGTTTTCGCGAGAAAGTTGAGCATGACTGGCTCAATTCGAATTTTTGAAAATTTGCATTTCATCCCAAAATTACGTAGTTCGTATTCCTCAGGGTCAAACTTCCAAATATGACCGACTGGCACATATTTCAAAATTGTCAGACTTTCAAAAACACAAAACAACAAATGTTTTAACTGTACTCTATCTGGACGTTCTATTGCAATCAAACTTGAAGCTTACCAATTTCACAAAAATCAAGAAAACCATAAAAATTTCATATTTAATTTGGTCATGCAGAAAAGTTCATGCAAGCATTTTTCTCTCTGATCCTCTTCTCGAAGATGTCTATAGGATAAAACTAATTCAGTCTTATGTTCTAATCTCGACAATTTTGGAGAACTTGGCATAAAAATGCTGAACTTTAAAGGTTTTCTTGAATTCAAAATCAAAGCTGCCAGTTCAACCAAAGAACAAAATCAGAAAATCTCAATGTTTACATGTAGATCTCTAGAGAAACCGTGAAGCACCAGCAAAACCTTTAAATAAAGCGTGAACAATTTCGATCATGGTCTGAGAAAAAAATTTTCAACCGAAACCATTGAAGTTACCAAAAAGCTTTCTATATGACTTTATTTGTCTATCAACTTTGTTGATTTAATCATATGGACCGAAAAACAAAACCGAGAAAACAAGCAAAACAACCGAGTCAACTAGCAATTCAATGCAGAGTGTTCAAGCTGAAAAACGCGAAATTGAATAAAAAACCCAGAATCAAAACAGTTTACACTATCAACAAAAATTGCAATGAAAGAAGTTACACTGGACAAATTTCTGCTACGGCATCATCTCAATTGTACAACAAAAGCTGCAATTGAAAATCTGCTCCTGATCCATATTCAGGCTATAGACATACATTCAATTTTTACAGAAAAAGGAGCTTATTCAAGTTATAAGGAAAACAAAAATCAACGAGGTTCTTTCGCTGAATGCGCGGAATCTTGAGATATTGTTAATTATGATAATTTTCGTAAAAGTTATTCCGGATATCAAAAAACTAGCTTCGATGATGAACGATCTGACACATTTGAAGATAACAAAACAAGCTGCGCGAACACAAGACCAATGAGCTGCGAGCAAACTGAGCAGCAGCGAAACTCATCTGACAAAACTTCTAAAGATATATCTACTACCTAGAATGAAGAAAAAGAATGCGTGAGTTATCATAAGTTTTTTTTTTCAGTTTCCCCAATTATCTAGCTATAAAATGGTTTTTGAAACGCAAAAAAATTGTTCATTGTCCATTGTCGACAAACGGTACAAGCTTTAGAAAATAATTTGTCTTTTTTTTAACAATATAAGATAGTCACACTCAGACCGCCCAGTTAATATTTAAAATTGGAGAGAAAGGATCGTCACTTTGATACTACTACCAACAAATATCTGAGTTATTTTTCGGCAACTGATAATACAGATAAAACGAAAAGCTATCCTAGCTAGAGAGGCAACTATGATTATATGAAGCTACAAAAAGACCAAAGCAAAATTTTGTGGGCCCACCAACTCGTGATTTAAGTGTGACAACATTAAAAAGTCAAAATTTGTAATTAAAATCGTAGCGCCAATCATTTTCACAGAAATTTAAAAAGCTCTATCGTCTTCAATGTTATCCTAACTCTCATGGAAAGAGGTTTTAAAATTGCGATATTGTTTGAAACAAATAGCTTTCTTCGGTTCACTGGATCAATTAAAAGTGTAAACTTATAATTTTTCGAATGGCAAAGCATATGTTATCAATAAGCTGTAAAAGTACAACTAAATATCAAAGGTGCAACAAAATATCAAAAGATCCTATTAACAAATCGATGCAGCAAATATTGTTGATTTAAGTCAAAAAAATAATTGCGATTTAGTCGCAACAACATTTGCGAGTTAGATTGGAAAAAAAAGAAAGTTCGTACTATAACATACGATAACAATAAGAAAAACTAGAACTAGGCTTCGAACTACTAAAACATTGTCTTGTTTTGGTTTCAAAACTGCAACCCTGAGATTTGGAACCTCAAGCACTGCCCTTTCGCCCACAAGCGCTTAGCAATCGACAAACATTTATTAGAAAAAAGAAGCTGAATATGCTAATAAATTGCCCATGCGATGCAGCAAAAATAAGAAGACACATTTTTGCAAGTAAAAGTTTTCCACACTAACTTTTAATGTTGTAAGCTGAATTGCATACAGCCAAGTTGTATATAAATTATGCATTTCAAAATTGCGAGAAATACTGAGTTAGAAATTTTTTGAAATCGAGTTTTTATGATTGTTGTTGTTTAAAACAAATAGCTTTTTCCGGTTCACTTGAAGATTTAAAACTGATTCAACTGTTACTAGTTAAAACTGACTCAAGAAGCCACTAGGTCAAAATAAATTAGACCGGGTCTTTCTACGCCAAATAAAGGCAATTAAAAAACATTTTTGTGAATCGAATGGGTAAAATTACAATCAAGGATTAAAGCAAATTTCGATTCGGCTGGATTTTAAAATGCCCAAACACTTAAAGCAACTTCAGTAAAGATGTTCACAGCGAACTAAAAACGATTCATAGACATGGCAACTAAACCGTTAAAACATAAGACATACAAATATTAAGACAAAATTTTTTGGGGCCGGAATATTTACTGTTTTAAAAAGCAGGTCCTAGTCCGATTTGAACCTAGGATCTTTATCGTCCCAGTCGTATTCGTTACCTCCAGGTTAAATGTCCAGGAGAAGCTAAGAATTTTAAAATCATTTTGAACCAAGGTACCAGCAGGAGTCCAGTGAAAAAAGTTATTTACGGGAAAAAGTCTAGTACCCGATTGCACTACCCTTGCTCATAGCAAGGGTAATCGAAGAATCAAAGACACTTTCATTTCCAATAAAATTAACCGATACCACAAAAAAAAGGTAAATGTGCAACCTAAGCCGACAAAACATAAGCCGACAACTGATAGGACGATGCTTTTTGGATACTAAAAATTTTGAAGTTAAAAAAATGGTCTGACCGGATCCGAGCATACGCCTTAAGCCGCCGTCAACAAGTTTTTAAATTTTCAAGAAATTGAGCATCAGAAATTTGTTTAACTAGATGTTAACCAGAAAAATGTCTAACTTCCGATTTGATAACGCTTGCTAATCGCGAGCGTAATTAACGATCTTTGTTAGGTGGGTTGGAAAAAAGTGCGATTCGTAACATAACACAACGATTGCAAGCAAGCTTGTGGAATGAACAAAAAGCATTACTGAAAATTATAATATCAAACACGCGTTTTTGTTTGCCCTGCATATTTGATCCCATAAAAAACGTTTCCTCAAGGCTCAAACCACGGCATCTATGATGTCATTTTTCACATCATGGTTGGCTATTTCGACTTCTTATGTGGTTTAATTATTAGTTTTATACTTCCTTCAGTATTCAATCAACCATTTTCGACCTTACCAACCTTGTTTCATTCAGCCAACTATTTTCTATCAAATGGTTGTTCACCGCAGCGCAATTGATTAGAATTAAATAAACTCTGATCAATAGTCAAAACGCCATTTACATTTAATTATTCTCGACAAGTTACCTCTTTTCAATTTAAAAACTACAAAACATCATATTTATGTTCAACATTGTAACAATTCCGCTCACTCAAGTGTTTCAGTTCAAAATATCAGTTGTATGTCATATATCTGGGCGTAGAGCTAAACTTGGCGTACGCTTTTATGACTTTGTTGACTGCCTCCAAGAAGTCTTTTTCAGTGGCCATTTTCCTTCTGGCTCGGATTGCAAACATACCTGCTTCTGTGCACACACTGCGGATATCAGCGCCTTAAAAATAAGATAACAATTTTGACTTCTTATACTTAATGCCAAGTTATTGGCAATATCGGTGACCTTGAGACACAATCGGTCGAAAAAAAAGAACTAGAGGAATATGACAAGTCTATTATGGAAATCATTTAAATTTGATATTTCAAACCAAACATCCAGAAAGTTTCAGCAAAAATATCAAAACAAAATTGAGAAACCTATCTACTTCCCGATTTGATGGATCTTCAGGATTGGCAAACCCATTCCATCAAAAACCGTTTCAACGGATTGAAATCAATCAGACCAAAATTTAAGCAAAAATTAGTTGTTGACCAAAAACTTATTCGTAAAATTATACAAACAAACTGCACAAAAAACCATAACTCAATTATTTGCATCAGAATTTGACAAAAATAGCCAACTGATAGTTGGAAACAAGTCAAGAACAAGGAAACCAAAAACAGGGAATTGCAAATTTTTGAACATTTCTCAATTTTCGAATTTCAAATAAAAATTAATATCACATTAAGCATCTTGGAATTTTAAGAATTGCTTCTGATTGGCCTTTTTTTCTTAAAGCTACCACATTAAGAGGCAGTTGGAAAAGAGTCGATGAATTTCAAAGAAAAAATCCATAGCCTGAAAGCTCTTTGAAATTATAGAACAATTTATGATTTACACTTTAATTAAAAAATCACAAGTCAATCCGGAAAAATCAAAGTTGAGCGTGAACAATCTATAGGAATTTTTCCTGATAATAAAAACACGAATAAATCATCAAGACCTATGTAAGGAAAAATCACTTCTTTCTTTAACACTTAATAAAAAAGTAAATGAATACCTAAGAAGATTTCGGCCGAAGCACTATTGTGAAATTCTAAAAAAAATTAACTCAAAACATTTATCGAAGAGGGTCTGTGAAACTTATTCAGACATTTTAAAATTTCGGATCAATTGAGCAATCTCCCCCTGTAATTGACCAATTGAGCTATCTCCCCCCAAACAAAGACGGTAAAACGCTACAAAAAGACATCAACAAATGCAAGTAGATGGTTGATGTGTTCGTAGCACGCAATCGATTGACCGAATACAAATTTATTTTATGAGTATCGAGAAAAATTTTGAAAAGAAAAAAAATCGAAATTTATTTTTTAAATGTTTTTTTTTTCCAAATTTTTTGGGCGATTTGTTTTTGAGGAAAGCGAGTTACTAGGGTTGTTAGTTGCTCTAGCCTTGTATCTGAATAGCAAAAACTGTTTTCCGCAGCATCTTATTATTGTACGCAATAGCTTTTTTTACTTTTAGGACAGAAAAAAGTCGCTTTATTCGCCTGAGTTTTATTGATTCTTTTTCTACTCTGAATGAATTTTGGCGCTCAGCATTCTTTGGAAAATCTGGTTTATGATTTCGTATCAATCAAACTATTTTCAAGTGGTTAAAAACATGTCTCAAGTACCTATTGAGCTATCTCCCCCCAGGCGAGAATGGGGGGGGGGGGGGAGATTGCTCAATTTATCCAAAATTTCTCTTTAAAATTTCCCTTATTCTTGGGGCAAACTTCTTGTTATTCAGATAATTCCGCTTTAAATAAAAGAACGCACTAAAATTCAACTTGTAAGAACGTATAGCAGTATATTCAGGGGTACAGCTACAGCTGGTATAGTAAAATAAGTGATTCCATTATTGTGAAGTTGATTACCTAGGAAAAGTCTTTACTCTGATTTGATATCGCAAGCATAATTAACCTTGTTTAGATTCGTAAACCAAAAAATATAATGCCAACAATCTGGCCTCAGCTTTTCATATTGAGGCAAAAGTCTGTCACCTCGATTTCCACTTCTAATACAATATCTTCTCTGGGAAGATAATTGATCGTCAAATTTCTTATTTATACCGATGATTTTGTAGAATTAAAGTCTGTATATTTTACACCAAAATTTAGGAAATATAAGCACAGAAACTTATCTGAAAAAATGCTCATTACCAGCAAACAGTGCGTCAAAATGAACACATAAAAAGGGGCGACTTTGGTTGAAAAACGAAGTGAACCCGTAATATAACAAAAGCTTTTCCTAGTGTAAAATGCAAAAGAGCTTCTTTCCTTATTCTTGGGGCAAATTTCAACATGCCATTTATTCATTCAATGTTCGCAGCTTCATTGCTCTACAATGAATTATGATATTATAGACTATTTATTCACGAATCCAAAATTACTAATTCAACTATTGTAAGAAAACCCGTCGATATGCTACCGTACCTTTCGATAAAAATATAGTTTATTCCATCTCAATCACCGGTCGGTGCAGAACGTAGTTTAAAGTGCTGGCTATCTGATTGAACAGTACCTGTACTATTAGGACACAATCTTGCCAGCAGTTCATATCGGATGTCTTTCTCCACTGACATTTGTCTGGCATGAATCTTGAAGATGTTTGCCCTTCCTTCCAAATCAGGCAAACCGAACTCCACTTTTCGGTCCAGACGTCCCGGTCGCATCAATGCTGGATCCAGGGTATCCGGTCGGTTGGTGGCCATGAGAACCTTCACAATGTACAAAGTTGCTTCACAATGTACAAATGTCTATTGTTTTTGTACAATTTTTTTTTTGAAAATCCGTCCCCCTCGAGAAATTCCTAGAACCGCGCCTGAACCCAACCATATAACATGTAGCTGTTCCGAGGGTCACAAAAATCTTGATACCAAAATCCTTTGTATAAATTTGAAAAAAAACTCCAAACATTTTTTCCTCATAGTTTTTCAAATCGTCAGGGGAGGCGTGTTCTGAAAGTTATTTTATAACAGTTTCGTTAGTTGGGTGAGAATGAGCGTGGGTGGAACACCGAATACAAATTCACTTATTTTGTTTAAAAGAAAATCTAATTCGAAGTTTTACAGTTCAGTGGCTAATGCAGTGATTTTAGAAACAAGAAAAAGCAGCAATCATAGCCAACAAAATAGAAAAAGTATCAATGGAGTCCAGAAAACGGAAAAGACAATTTACTTTTTCGACAAGCACAATTAGAGAAAACTGGATCAACAGGTAGTTTTTTTATTCGCTTGTCCATCCGTTTTCGAATTTTAAAATCGCACATGCTTTTTGCGCAATTATTGTTTTCGTAAACGCTGCGAGCGTAAATTTCCTTAGTTTTTGCCAATGAAATTGATTTGAACTTGAAAAGAATATCTTGAAAAGCCTGATCAAATTTTGGATTTGAAAAGCATGATCAAATTAAAAAGACCTTTTCCTGAAAAAAAGCCTCAATAAGTTTCAACACTCTTTAGTTCATTGACAAAACATCAAGTTATCAACGCAAGAAAATAGAAAAAAATTCTGACTTGTTTTTTGAGAAAAAAACTTTCGAATTTCAAAAAAAAAACATATGGCATTGCAGATCCTTGAATTTTACTAAAATTTATGATTGCAGTGCTTTTGGTAAAATGAACTTAGTTTGAAAAAAAGTTATTCCGTTGGGAAATCTAAAAACTAAACCCCCTTTCGAAACTACAAGTCATTCACGTTTTTCTCGCCATTTCTACTTTCGTATTTGGAGAGCGCAATTTACCGAACTTTTAGCAGTTGATTTTGAATTGAACTCGAAAAATGCATATATATCTAAGTGCATTCATAAATTAATTAATATGATTAAATGCACTTCTGCAGTTATAAGAGCATTTTAAGACTTTTTCCTAAAGAAGCAAAAAAACATTGAGACCTATATGAGAGTATGGACTACTCTCATATAGAAAATATTCATATCTGCCAAAAAATATTCATATCTGCTTCACTTGTTTTTCAAGTTTCATATTTGCTTTCAAATTGATGAAAAATAACCTTTATGTTTCCTCTGGCATCGAATCCGTCCAGTTGGTTGATCAGTTCCAGCATCGTCCTTTGCACTTCGTTGTCCCCTCCCGCCCCATCGTCGAACCTTGCCCCTCCAATAGCGTCAATCTCATCGAAGAAAATAATACACGCCTTCTTGGATCTAGCCATTTCGAATAGTTCTCGCACCATTCTCGCTCCCTCGCCAACGTATTTCTGCACTAGTTCGGATCCTATGACTCGGATAAAGCAAGCGTCAGTTCGATTGGCTACCGCTCGAGCGCAAAGCGTCTTTCCTGAAACCAACAGAAAGCTTCCATTAAAAGTCTACATTCCATCACACACATCGTATGTGGTAGCGGGGCAAAAAGTTCACGCTTTGCCTTTTGAGGACTTTTTTCGGATTAGCATTATTCAGAAATGCTGGTAATATTCACTTCATGAGGTTTTTGTTAGGCATTTTCCATTAACTTCTAGCTTTCACAAACATAGGACTTTATTAATTCCCCCCATAAGCCACGCCCAATAAAAGACTAAGTCAACTGTTGAGCGTATACGTTAGCCCCCCATGAAATAAGGTGAGATCCACAGAGAGGTCTATCTTTTGAAATATTATGGTTTCCTTTCCATAGGGACAGAATCTCAATAAAATCAGAGATAGATTTTTTTCCTTTTCGAACACCGCATGCATTCAATAGATGTTACTACAGAATACTCTTCTATACCTTTTTAAGGGCATCTTTTGCAATGGTAGACTTGGATTGATTATCCTTAGAACCATTTGCCTAGCTTCACTAAGTTGGTTAAAAAATGTGCTAACAAGATGATTGAAACTAACAAGCTGTAGATTTGTCGATTAATACTGGATGCGTAATTACATAATTTGCAAATTTTGAACAATATATTCTTCATTTACTGGACGTATATTACCTGTTCCAGGGGGTCCGAACAAGAGCACTCCCTTGGGGGGATCGATGCCCAAGTTAACGAATCTCTCCGGGTGCAGCAGGGGAGTCTCAACGACCTCTCTCAACTTCTCAATCTGCTCCTTGCATCCCCCCACATCTGCATACGTCACGTCAGGCTTCTCCTCTACCTTCAAACACAGCCCACTTTTACCGCGAGGCCACATTTGGTCGCATGCGACTATTTGTAGCAGTTCAAAAAGCCATAAGTCGTCGCAGATCAATTTACCAAAATGAACAAAACTTATTCGAAATAAATTGATTTGACAATGCACAGGAACCACACGTGTTTGTGTGGGTGTTCAAGAACTTTTAAGCAATGAATACTGATTAAACTGGTTTGAGAGGAGTTGTCGCTTTTTACATATCTTTTTAAAATTGAAAACTGCTCAAAATGATTCATCCAACCTGCATCATGGTAACAGTTGGGTCTATTTTGGGCGGCAGTGGAAGGTGTATCTGGTACTTGTTCCTATCAACTCCCACCCTCATTCCTTCTTCGATATCACTCGGGGCCACATTGTCGCTGAGATCCACAACGAACTTGGCGAACTGTTTTACGTTGATGATGTACTTGGCGTCTTCATTGCTAGTCGCACCTTCTCCCCCACTCTGGATTATTTTGGTCACTCTCGCTACTTGAAGTGGCTGCTCGCCCTATAAATAAAGCTAATTAAGTGCCAATAAAACTAAAAGTTTGAGCAAATTAGACAAACTACTCGTTGCTTATGCGTATAAAAAACGCACTGATCATTAGCACCCTTTAATAACAATCGTTATTGCGCAAAGCTTGAAATCAGGGTTTAAATTATTTACAAGAAGATAACGAAGTTAAAGAAAAATCTTTCGCCCAAAAACCAACCAGGTGTATTAAAATCAAAAAACAATGATTTTTCAAATTTCGGGATAAATTAAGATACTAAATTAATATCATCATACTAAAAATGCGATCAATTAAATCAAAGTGATAGTTCAAGAACGTAGCCAACAGACAGTTGGAAAAGAGTAAATGAACGCAAGTAAACAAAAAAATAAGGATTAATTTTTTTAAAAAATCTTCAAATTTTGAAATTCAAGGAAAAAATTAGATGGCCTAAAAGCTCTTTAAATTTCTGGAATAATTTATGCTTTACACCTTTTTTGATCTAATTTGAGAAAACTGGACCAATAGGTAAAATTTTATTCCGCTGAGAAATTCGCTAATTAAATTCCACTTCCGGAACTATACGTCGAGCACGTTTTTCGTGACCTTTACACTTTCGCTGTTTGATAGTATGGTTTGACTTCCTTTTAACAAAGAAATGAACTGAACTAAGAAAAAAATAAATTTAGGCCTGAACAAATTTTAAAACTCTTCCTGAAAACGAAAAGAAAAAACCATAGCGACCTATATAAGAGCCTGAACTAGTTTCATCGACTCTTAATAAATCCATGATTTCAACCGGAATCACATGAGGAAAACCAACGAATATATGATTATAAACGCAGCATTAGGAACAAATATAATTATGCTGAAATTCGAAAAAAATGCAAACTCACAGTAATAACAAAAAGTTTCGCGTTTATTGGAGCCTACAATAAATCCAGTTTCATTTTGTAGTAAAAGGTATGAAAACAAAGTTAGGATAATTGAAAACTTAACTTAATGAATGTTAATGGAACTTTCGAGAAAAAAATTGGGAACCACTAACGATACAAAATAACTGTACCCAAACTGCAACATTTTTCATATTTCGCAAAAAAACTATTTCAGAAGTAGGCGCAAAAACGCAGTTATCTAACTCTCGTTTGATTCATCAAAGCTCATTTGACAAATTCGAGCTAGGAGAAGTAATCATTTGTGAAAACCGAGAAAATCGATTTCCCCTAACTCTTGCAATCTAATCAATTCTATCCTTTCAAAAATATCAGACAAGGCTCCCATAAGGCTTTGTTTTGACTTCAAATTGAACCAACAAATTGAACCTTCCGGAAATTGACCTGAATCTTATGAAACTTTTTCATTTTTTTCTTCAAATAAAAAATTCCGTGAAGTGTCTTGGATGTGAAAATTGTTTCCATCATAAGCAAAGCTCTCAGTGCTGGGCCAACTGAGCCGACAAATATAAGCAGACACAAGGCACTAAGACAAATACTCTTTTCATGCGGATTTTTCAGCTAAGCATCAGCTTCATGCGGATCAGCTATCAAACAACAGGGCCTACGAAGAACCAGGCATGCATCAGAAATTAAATTAATTATGAAAAAAGCAAACAAATGATTCAATGATTCTGTTAGACAAGTTGTTTACTTGAAACTAATCTTATTGTTCCGACTTTTGAAACGCAAGTAACGGAAAATTTGTGCTCGGGTGGTTTTTTTTTCTTCGGACAAATTTCGACTTTCTAACTAGTCATTTTTGACGGATTTTTTCTTTTTATCATTCGAAAAAGTGTTTTGTCCTGCGCTTAAATTTGAAAACTTTTCACCTGTGATCATTTTTAAAAAAATTTTGGGGGTTTAAAAATTTGCCATTTTGGGACAATTAACGCGCGATATATTTCGCGCTATTAACGCGTAGGCGGATGTTTAATCCGTCTTAGAAATAGTTCCAAATTGGTTGAAGGAAGCTTATTTGCCATAATTCATTGGTTACTGGGAGCGAAATCTATCACTTTGTAGTTTATATGGCGTGTGGGGGGATGATTTTTGCAAAAACCTGAAATAAAAATTAAAAAATCATTTTGTTTTCTCACATCTAATTTTTTCATGTTATTACTGCTCCATAAGCATTAATAGGCAGTCGGAACATTCAGGGCCTCGCCCTGACACGAGCAGTCTTCTGTTCGCTAGAACTCCGTTAGCATGTAATGAAAAATACGCAACTTTATTTCAAAAATGATCCCAAAAATCCGCATCTACACAAGATTTACATCAGTTTTTAAAACAGCTTGCACTGAGCAACAGAAGAAAAAATAGAGCAGAAACAAAATCAATATTTTAACCGAAGAAATTAAAAAGATACAAAAATCCTACACAGTGTAAGCATACAATTGTCTGAAACGTGGTTAATAATTTGAGCACCTAAAGACAGAACTCGAGGAAAGAATGGGCATTAATTTGGAGCGAAAAAAAAACAAAAAAACTTAAAGGGAATTACCGAACGGTCTGGTCAGGTCTCGTATATCTGGAGAGTAACTGCAACCTCTACGTTATCTCAGCACTGTAAAAACTAAAACCACGTGCAGATGAATCGACAAGGTAAAACGATTTAACATTTTTTTAAATAGTTTATCGAGTATAAAAAAAATGTCCGCAAAAACCCTGTAACTCCATTGCTGCCACTGGGATTTGTAAACTGGTTCAACTTAATTTTAAAATTTTTTAAAATTTTAAAAGAAGCAGAAAGCTGAACCTTTAAAGGGGGATTGGGACATGCTAGGAGAATAAGACCTAGGGACGTGCTACGGATACAAAGCCGAAAAAGCAAACAGACATACGATAATTCGATAAAACAATTATTTCCAATTTGCAAAAAATAGCCAACAGACAGTTAGAAAGAGTCAATGAACGCAAGTAAAACAATGCCTAAGTTTTTAACAACCTCAACTTTCGAATTTTACAGAAAAAATTATACGCTTCAAGCTCTTTCTAAAACAATTTATGATTGACCCTTTTTTGATAAAATTAAGCCAATTAGAGAAAACTGGATCAATAGGTAAACTTTTTATTCCGCTGAGAAATCAGAAAAATAAATTCCACTTTCGAAACTAGAAGTCGATCACGTTTTTTGTAACCCTTACACTTTAGTTGTTCGATAATGGAATTTGCCCTCTTTTTATACAGAGGCGAATCTGCGCTTCACAAACACCAGCGAGAACACAAAAAAGCAGCTTGCTAAAACAAAATAATAAAAAAGGAATAAGCCTCACGTTAGTAAAAATTGCTACGTATTAGTTTCGAATCTGCGACCTCGAGAATTGGAGTCTCACACCCTGCCCTCTTGACCATGAAAGCTTAACAATCGGCAAACACGTGTCACAAATAATCGGAATAAATCTACATCAAACGCGCTGAATGATTGCTGAAACTCGTGCAACATTCTACATGCAAATTCTGAAAAAATCCTTTTCAGAAAAAGCCTATTACGGTTGCAATATCCTTACTTATCGCAAGGTTATTTTTGATACCATTTTTTTGATACCCAACGCGCAAATTAAGCGGATCAAAATTCTGCAAAATAAATTGCGGCGTTTAAGCAGAAAATAAGTTAGACAGATACCAATCCGCAAACCCGAAAAAAAAACATGACAAAAAACTGTGCAAAATAATCAGCATTATAGCCTCAGTTCACTATATCTACAATGATAGATACAGCGCTGATTTAAATTATCCGGACAAAACGCATTAAACTTGAAACGCGCTTTTCCCAAATTGGATTGACTTAAGGTGAAAAATGATGGAGACAAAGTTTGCTTAGAATTTAAGCAGAATTAGTATGGTGTTACTTGTTTTGCGAAATTCGGTCCGGAAATGGATCTCTTTTTTGGCTTTTTTACTCAATCAAAAACTACGCCAAAAATACCCAGTCGATCAGTGACATAATTAAATCAAAGTGAGCCTCTTCCGTAGAACTTTCAGAAAGATGTTATCTCCAAAAATGATTTGTACACGTTTAAAAATTGTTTTAAAATGAAAATTTGGTGTTTTATATAGTAAAAACGACCTTTTTCGTTTATCAAACACAAATAAATTAATATGTACAATGCTTTAGGCTAAGTAAAAGGCTCACATTGAATTTCGCAAAACAAATAGCAACATATTAATTCTGTTAAAATTCCAAGCAAGTCTGGTATTAACATTTTTCAATTAAAATCAAACCAATTTGAGAAAAACGCGTTTTAAGTTTCAAGTTTAATGCGCTTTGTTCGGATAATTAAAACAGCACTGTACTATAAAGTATAAGAAGGAAGTTGAATTGAGAAAAGCGTTAGCAGAACAGTTGCAAGCAGGAAAAATTCGTCTAGTACTCGATCACAAAATTACTGATTACCTGGAGGTAGCGAACCACTATCTCAAGTGATATTAAAACACCATCGAAAATGAAATTAGCTGCGTACCTGGAGTGCCTGTTTGTCGGCCGCCAGATCCCACAGAGCCGGAGGAGCTAGACCAGTGTCGCTCTCTTTGATACCAGTCAGCTCGTTCACGCCTACTCAAACAATAAATCTTACTCAATGTACCAAATATCGCCAAAAAAACTTAGCTGGACTATGGTTTCTTTCCACTACTAGTGGGGGACGGGGGGCTTAGAGCTTGGTCCGAACAAGAACAACTTCTCGCAGACAGTTTCAGGTCTGCTTTAGATTGCTGCTAAACTGGATTATGACGTAAATTGCGGTTTGTTGATTTCGATTGTAGGTTGAAACAGTTATGTTCAACAATTTCGAGTTACAAAGAGCGAAAGTGTGACTGACGTTTAAGTATTGCCTTGATGTCGTCATCTGTCTTCTTGACTGCCTTGGCATATGCACCAGCCCCGTAGTTCTTCAGGATTGCAATATCTCCCTCGTCCAACACCTCAATCGGCTTCTCGTCTTTATCCTCATCCTTCACCTTTCGCATGTCCTTTCCCAGGTGGTCAGGCATCTTTGGTTAACTAGCCCTTTTGATAGAGTAATGGAAAACTACGGCTTCAGCTAATTCTCGAGTTTAAGAGGCTTGAAATGTTTACAAGGTTTAGTTGTGATCTTAATGCTCTGCAATTAGTAAGAGGCCAACAAACCGATTAACTCGCAGCTACAAAACCCTCAACACTTTCAATTCGCAGTGTCGTCAAGAACAAAAAACCTGAAAAAGAAAGGAAGAAGGTATTACTTTTCTTTTATCAAAAGGAATATAGATTTTTCGCTACTTTCGATCAATTCTTCTTGCGAAATGCCAAAATCAGCGTAAGAAGCTCGAACGATTTGTCTTGTGACCGATTTTTTTCAATTGAAGAAAAATTTGGACGCTGACCACTCTCCCAAATAAATTACGAGGCTGCAAAATGCAAAAAAGCGCGGCTGAAAATGATGAGAAAAACAGATAACAGACGAATTTCATGCCAAAAAACTTAATTAAAACCTACAATTAACCAGGATAGCCATTTGATGAGCAAGTAGCAAAAATGTTCCGATCAGTGTTTTTAAAACAGAGGCGAATAGGATATACCCGCACTGAAGCACATATGAATTACAATACAGTTTTCTCTTTCAAACGGCGAACTATGAGGCAACTAAGCAGATATAATATGAGCCAAAACCATTCAAGCCGAAGAAACTTTCGCGAAAGAAAAAAAATTCAATAAAAAAATAAAAAGTAAGAATAAAAATTCGAATACAAAGGAAATTCAAAAGACAGAAATGCTGAAAAACATGCCTGTTGGCCAGAAATTCCATCAGAGGAAATGATTTTGTTTAGTTATTAGTCCGAACAAAGTCTAGAATCCGATTTGATGTCTTGCTAATCACTAAAAAGAGACATCAAAAATGAAAATAGAAGAGCAAAAGGAAAATTGAAATAGTTACAAAACTGCAAAACGAACAGAAGAATCGGGCAAAAAACTCACCCTACGCCAATGATCTTTCCCACGCTACGAGAACGGTCGGAGCAATACTCTCAGCAAGATTTATCAGAAAATGTTACATTTCTGTTCTTCCAACTTTCTATTCAAGTTTTACACAAAAGCAAAGCTGCCTATTACAAAAAGAGCTGAAGGTAGCTTTGAAATGTAAGAAAAAAGGCCAACAAACAGTTGGAAAAGTGTCAATGAACTCTTTTAAAAAATGACCCATGTTCCTTATTTTTCTTTTTTCAAAGTACCAGGAAAAAACATCACACTGAGGCACTTTCAATTTTGAGATTCTGTTATGATTGAAATTTTTTCACAAAACTTAACCACTTAGAGAAAATTGGGTTCAAAATTCTGAAAATCTAGCAACATTCTGGACTCTAATTGAGTATCGGAATTGATGAAATCATAAACCATGAGAAAAAAACTGCAAACTTCAAGTGTTAATTTAGTTTCGTAATATCGAATCAAAACAGAAATTAGATCAAAATGAGTCCTAATAAAACTTTTAAAAAAATCCATGCGATGACTCAGGAAAAACAGTCAAAAATTGAAAGGCACGAAATAACTAAACCAAAATAATTTGGAACCAAAAATTTTTTCGAAACTCCTGTAGGTCATAGTATCAGACGAGACAAACAATCAAACTAATTAAACAGAACTTTGAAAATGAAAAATTTGAGTAAATCTGCCAATCAAGAAGTCAAAAAATCGCGAAATCTCTAACTTTAAAAGTTATGTAGGTCAATTCTTCAGAAAAGTTAGGCAAGACTACAAAAATTGTCAGTATTCAAAAGGAGAAAACTTAATTTTTAGAAATAAAAAACTGAAAAAAAATTCAACAAAAAAAATATTCAAATAGAAAATGGATGAAAAAATAATCTGTAGGCCAAACGAAAACAAACTTGCGGCCAATTTTGGCATTCAAGTAATAATGGATTGCGCGAGATAGAAACTCCAGCTTCCATCTTAACAAATACAGTTTCGACGGGTAAAATCTTGACATCGGAACACTTATCCGAGGGGGGTTGCCGGGAGACACTGAAACCTTCCCCATTCATTTCCCTATCTTAAAACATTGTAGACTCTATAACCTATGTTAATACATAGCTGGGAGACCAGATTTTCTATTCCCTACCTTAAAAAATAGAGGTCTCCCGGCACCCTCCCCCTCCACTTCAGCTCCAATATCTACCACTCGTTTTGTCCCATTTAAAATTTAGGTTTATTGAGATAATCAAGCAAGAAACTCATTTTAGTTTCGAATTTGCTTAATCAAATTGCTAGCTGCTTGTCTTGTCTCTATTTCCTCCACAAACAACCTGGTACTATCAAATTATCTCTGCTCATAAGGTCTGCGTCTGAATGATTTATGATAGTCATTTAGATTTTTTTTACTACAAGTGAATAGTGCATTAACTTGGATTTAGCAAAATCGAAACAAAATTTTGTTATTAGAAAAAAAAGTCATATTTTACACCAATTATGTCAAAATGGGTTCCTTGCTTACCATTATCTGATTAAACTTAAATTAAAAAAAAGGGACAAAACGTCTGAAAATTTATTGAAATAACTATTTTGTCCGATATCCAAAACAAACAATTTCACGGACATTTTTTTTGGTTTAAGGGCAATTTAACAATGTACTAGCACTTAAATCAAAATGTACTAGCCCTCAAACTAAATACAATTTTCCCAGAAATATTTTGAGAAAACTGTAATAGATACTTAAATTACATATACATTGCGATCGCAGTGGTGAAGTGGTTACGTCTCCGCCTCTCAATCGAAAGGTCGGATGTTCGAGGCCCACCATGATCCGTGCTCGTTGCTTGAGGGTGAGGCAACATTACCCAGCCCAGAAAAATAACCAAAAAAATTGCATGTAGTTCTTAAGCAGGGGCACAACAGCGGTTCGCCGTGATGAGCTGTACAGCTCGTATGTTGGTCCTATCCCTCGTGGATAAATGATCTGATCTGATCGCCTGGCAGCTGAAAATTCTCATACTAATGAGCTCTTCGTTTATACTATTACTTTAATTCCGCCTGAAAAAAGCAAGGATCGATTGATTTTGCCAACAACATCCAATCTATCTTGATCAAATTTTATTTAATAAGTTCACATGCAAATCATTCCTTTGAGCAATAATGTTAACATTTAGTGATAACCAATCAAGGAAGCTCGTTTACTTCATTGGGTAGCTGTTAATAAATTTGAGTAATTATATAAATTATTCTACGCATAGGATGAAACCATTGTGTTCGACAATGAATCTGAGCCCGGGGCTCCTTCATTAGCAGTACTGTTAGCTGCTTCTCTTTCCATTGTCTCCATTTCCTCTTCAGACAACACTGGTACTATCAAATTATCTCTGCTCATAAGGCCATATTTTAGTACGTAAATTGTGAATCTCCTACAGAGCAGAGTGTCTGTTTCAAATGTGTCGAAAATGCTTTTGTGGTGGTAATATGCGTGTGAAAATATCCGATATACTCGTCGGCACACAGATCCCAGTTTGGCTACCGACGATTCCTTTATGGTGACCCGGCTTGGAAAGTATTTGTTGCTGTTCAGTAGACCGGCAGCCCCGTCAAGAGTATGCCGAGTGTAGTCAATTGCAGGGCATTCTTTTGGTGTTTTGTGTGCAGCACATAAGAATATCCACTGTTCTGTACTTGTCATTTGACTGCCTATAATCATAAACAAGTTGACATCACACATAGGCGAAGCAGAGCTTCGCATTACTTGCGATGCATTACAAACATAAAATGGCAAGCTATTAGACGGAAAATAGCCAACAGACAGTTGGAAAGGAGTCAATGAACGCAATGGAACAGAAAAAATTACAGACTTATTTTTTAAATAAAATTCAACTTTCGCATTTCAAAGAAAAAATATAAGGCTTGAAAGCTCGTGGAATTTCAGGAACAATTTATAATTGAAACTTTTTTGAAACTAACCCAATATGAGTAAACTGGATCAATAGGTAAATTATTCCGCTGAGAAATTTGAAATTCACTTTCGAAACACAGAGACGATGCTGCGCTTCGCACCTCTTGCGATTTAAAACAAGAAAGCCGCTAAGTCGGAAAAAAAATCAAAAACAAATTCAAAATATGAAAAAATTAGATCTGTCAAAGAGATTCAGGCTAAATTTGTAACAAAAGCATGTCAGGAAAATAGAATGTGAAATTAGTATCGAAAGGAATATTACCAATCGGCAGCAAAGCCGGAAATACTATAGCCAAACCCTTTAGCCGAAAAAAACAAGACTATGGCTGTAAAAAGTTAACAAGTGCTCCTCGCCCTCAAACCACACACAAACACAAAATTTAATTGCTCGTCAAATGAAACAATATGAGGTCACCAAGCCGATAAAATATAGGCCAAAAGCTATTAAGCCAAAAAGAGGAAAAAAAGCCGAAAACAAATCAAAAAAATGTAAGACGGATGAAAAGATATTACGTCCATCTCAACCTCAAACCACATAAATTTTTTCCGCTCGACGAAAGACGCAACATGAGGCCATCGAGCCGATATAAAATAGGCGGAAACAAATCAAGCCAAAAAAAATGGAAAAAAAAACAAAGATGAAAAAAATTTATGTCACGAAAAACGTAAACGATAATTTCTTTCAAGATGTTTGCAATTTGTGTGATCCAGAGATGAGCATAAAAAAAACTTTTTAAAGGAAACGACTCAACATTAGGTCACTCGATAAAATACAAGCCCAAATCATTTGGGCAGAAAAACAGTTTGAAGCGAAAAAAAAAATGCAAGAAAATACAAATAGCCGAAGTAAATCGAAACACGAAGAGCAACTAAAATGTAAATAGTGTATAGAAAAAAAACAAGTCTACCATGTGGCAACTACGCCGACAAAACATAAGCAATAATAAGCCGAAAATTTCTTTTGAAACATAATATTTCCTGTAAAAAAACCAAAACAGATCCTGTCAGATTCGAACCTAGGACCTTTGCCGTCTGAGACGTATCTTTTAACTCTCGAGCAAGCAAGCCGCAGAAGCAAAAAATATTGAATTTATTGTTAACTGAACCTAAATTTACCATTTCTATTTTTGACCATTCTGGAACAACGTTATTTATTAGTCTAGTACCCGATTGCAAAACCATTTCTTATCGCAAGGAAAACATAAAAACAAAGACAATTTCAATTGCATGAAACTAGCTTACAGCACAAAACTGACAGGACGATGATTTTGTTATACTAATACTTTGGGTTTTGACCGGATTTGAGCCTCGGCTGACAGGTGCTGACCGGAATCGAGCCTGAACCCCTAGCCTTCACCAGTTTTCGAAACCAGTCGTTAAATTTGAATTTTCATGAAACTGAGCACGTTTGATACAAAATTAAATGCTGCACAAATGATTCAGTGATTTTGTTAAAATAACTGTTTACCCGAAAACAACTTCTCTGCTTTGATAACGCTTGCAAATCGCAAGTATCGTTAGAAGTCGATCACGTTTTTTTTGTGAGCTTTACACTTTTGCTGTTAGATAGAGGAGTTTTCCTTCCTTTTAACACAGGAAATGAACTGATCTTAAAAAAAATCAAAAGTCAAAAGGCGCAACCAAATTTGAGCGTAAAAACTATAAAGATTTCTTCCTGAAAAAACCAAAAAATATATTAGAGTCTACACTTCAAAGAAATTTATATAAAATTGGATCTATTCAAAATATATAATATAGAAAACGGATTAACAAAAGATAGCCAACTGACAGTTGGAAAAGAGTAATGAACGCAAAGAAATTCAAGTAAAAAATGTATGCCCTTAAAACTCTTTGCATTTCAAGAACAACTTATGATGTGCTTTTTTGATAAAATTAACCCAATTTGAGAAAACTGGATCAATAAGTAAATTTTCATTCCGCTGGAAAATCTGATAATTAAATTCCGCTTTCGAAACTAGAAGCATTTCACGTTTTTCTTGAATTTTACATTTTTCCAGTTCGATAGTGGAGTTTGCCTTCCTTTCAACAAAGAAAAAGAACTGAACTTCAGAAGAAATCACAAGTCAAACCGCGAAAAATCTTGAACAAATTTTAAGGCTTTCCTGAATAAAAAAACCAAGACCTATATAAGAGTACTCACTACTTTCATTTATCTGAATTACAGCAATCACTCAAAATGACTTTGTGCAAACAATGTTGTGCAAACAAAGCCGACAAAAGCTAAGCAGACACACACATAGATCAAATTTTTTCAAGAAAACAATTCACTGTCAAGTAGTTTATTTTGAATTTTGAAGTTTGAGCAATTCAGCACGTGAAAAGAGTCCACGTGCTGTCTAAAGATTTGAGTATTTTTTTTTTCAAACAAGTGGTAAATCCGAAAAGTCTATATTCTGATTTGATAACTCTGGCTAATTGTAAGCGTTAAAAATGATTAAAAACCACCTACCAATATTGAAGCTTGTTATTACATTTTTTAAGTTATCGGTCGAGGATGAATCCAAGGAAACGCATTCAAATCATCCCCAATAACGCAGCTCGTAATTGAGCATTTTCAATTGATACAAAACCAAACTGCCTCAATTCATTCGAACAAACTTTACTCACACGGTATCAAAAATGATACTAAACTTATTCACTACTTACATGTTGATGGTATACATTCAGATTGTAAATGAACAGCCAGTGTATTCAATTGCATGCAAAACTGCCTCAGGTGTTCGTATTTCCAAACACCCTCGTCGCAATTTTCAGGCGGATTGAGGATATCGTCAATTTTAGCGAAGTCTTGCCGTATGAGCTGCTGAATATATTGTTGCACAGCAAGCGCTGAATCCATTTGATCGTACTGTTCATCAGGCCATTGATACATTTCATCGCGCTTACACCCCATTCTGTTCCTCCGTATAATTTTAGGAGCTGAGAATTCTTCAACTCCACTTGTTTCAACTTCCATTTCTACAATCTAAAAAGAAAAAAGTCCATTTAAAAGTCCTCAGAAGTGCCAAACTTATTTTTGTTCTTCCAAAGTTTATTGTGTCTGGATTCGTTCCGTTTTTCGCTTAATTTCTTTGCTAGTTTCTGGACGGTTTTTGTAGAGCCTGGTGCTGCTGCTCCGATTCACGCAAAGATTAGTGGAACAAAGCTGCTGTGTTCCACATCCAGAATTCTTTGTTGGTATTTTAATGACTTGACACTCTCATGATAATTGTAGTAGTCAGATATAGTTTTAGGGCAAGATTAAGCATGGGGGTTGAAAATTTTCACATCGAAAAAGGTTAGGCTGAATCGGCCTTCCCAGAGTCCATTGGCCTTGATGGGCCAAATAAAATGGGCCCTTCCGTCATGCGACGGTACGTGCAGAGGTTGGATAGGGCCGCACCAACTCTATATAAATACATCGGCAAAATTTTATGAATAAATCAAGTCGATTTTAATGCATCCAGAGAACTGTCATTTAAAATCTACCCTCCTCGATTATAGCACAGATAAAATTGTTTTTGTTGGATGTATTTTCAGGTTTTTGCATCCCTGAGGCAGAGGACTGCACTCCTTAGAAGTCCAAAATTTATTTATGTTCTAATAAATGTTATTGTGTCCGAAATTGATTCGTTCCGTTTTTCGCTTAGTTTCTCTGCTGTTTTTTTGACGGTTTTTGAAGAACCTGGTGCTGCTTTTCCGGTACACGCAAAAATTAGTGGAACAAAGCTGCTGTGTTCCACATCCAGAAAATTTTGACACTCTCATGATATTTGTAGTCATGAGATATAGTTTTAATCCAGGATTTAGCATGGGGGTTGAAAATTTTTACATCCAAAAATATTCGGCTGAAACAGTCCTCCCCAGAAGCCATTTGCGTTGAGGTGAAGTCTTGCGTCGCCTACAGTAGTGTTTGTTTTGTTGTGAAAGCTTTCGCCTTCTACCGATTGAAGTTTTGGCTCTAATTCAACATACTTTAATAGCCTAATTGTTGTGATAAACTTATTATTAAATAGTGTGTCTGTTCAAATTTACCTCTTGTATAATTTCATATTAAATGCGCTGTGCTTTCCTCACAAACTTAACTTACCAAATCTCGCCGTCCCAGCCGTAGGCAATTGAAGTTTTTCTGGCGTAACTAGACGCAAGAAAGAGTGAGCCGATGAATCGACCCCCAAAACGACGTCAGGTTGTACCACTCCTTTTTTTCCGATCACCCTTGTACCAATTTTAAATCCTAAATGACAGTATTCATAAATCACCCCAAAGAACTTCCTTTCTCGCCCCAGTTGTCTGTGTTTCAGGTAGATGCCTGTGCCATTCTGCCGGATGACACAGCACAACCTTCCCGCGACAGAAAAAAGAGTGACTAAAGGCCTTATGAACAGAAAAGTGTTGCGACGGAGGGTCAGAATGTTCTAGAATTTTTATTTTTAAAATTTCGATCGGAAGAAGAACATTTCTGAGAAATAGAAAAAAGACGGCCATTTTGAATAAAAAAGACGAAAATCAGAACAACGATAGAAATTGTGAAGAACGGTTGTATCAGAGACAGAAAAACACGGAGCCTCTTATCGTGGCAATAACACACGATAAGGACCTTAGTGACAGATATTTGTGGAGACGGAGGCTTCAGTGGGGGGAAGAGAAATACCACGGAACCCTCCCGGGACACGAAATATAGGAGATAAGAGTGTTATCTCAAGAAAATCACGGGAGCGGAGGCTTGGTCCCCCAGAGACTGTTATATGTGAAGGGACTGGGTAAACTAACTATAACAGCTGCTGTAATGTCCTAGATCTTAATTAAACACCGATATTATTTGATATTTCAGGACATGAGTAGATAGAAAAAGGAAAGGGTCAATCCATCTCCAATGGATTTAATATAAAACTGTCACACAAAAACATAATAAAATAGGTTGTTCGAGCCGTGTTTTTAATGACAATCACGTAGTCTGAGGATCCGAGACTCAGCTATGTGGTTGTGTTCGCATGCAAACGAAAGCTGATCAAAAGTCGTTTGACTGATGGCCTAAAAATGGTAACTTTTTACTTTGCCCTAGACAGACCAGAAAATCAACTGGCAAGGTCGAGACGGTGAAAAACGAGTAGAATTAAGGTAACTGACGCCTGCCAGTCGTTAATAGGTACTTTTTCTACGCTCCGTCGCTGTGTGATATTTGGGCGAATGTTACATAGACGTTTTTATGGCGCTCCTGGGTGGGCCTGTTAAAGGCATGAAACCATCATGATCAGCAAGCGTTTCAGCGACGTACCCTCCGCTCCGGGCGTATGCCCGAGTTAGAGGCCTTAATGACCGTTGTTGTACTAGGGGGAAGGTGCGTACCCTCCGTCTAGTACAATTTAGCTTTTTAACTCAGTTAACACCGAAAATTCCGGGGGCCGGAGGGTTAGGTGGGAAGTCATGAACCCGCTTGTCCCGAGGTCCCGGGACCAAAAACAATTAAAGAGAAAGCGTAAAACCAAACAAAAATAGTGTATAACCAAGAAAAAGCCAAAAATAAATTTATTTAAAAACAAAAAGTACCAAAAACAGTAAAAAACATAAAGTGACAGTTTATATGTTATTTCCGGACGAGATGTGATCTGACCTTCCTATTTGTTGTTGTTTCAGATTGATTTATATCGTTTCTGATAGAAAGATTGTGTGTTTTGGTGAAGGGTTGGATACCCTCCCTCGAGTGTAATTTGAGTGTTTAAGCACGTTAATGGTGATTTTGCCGGTGGCCGGAGGGTAGAGTGGCAAGCTGATCAGCGTGTTCCACACTCATTAGGGACATCAAGGACAACATCCGCAACGACTGTTGGGTATCGTTGAAGCAATTTTAGTATTGTTCGGGTACTATTTCATTAAAACTTAAGTGGTGGGGGGCACGATTGGCGCGGTCCGATTGTACCCTCCATCGATTACAAATTTCCGAGTTAAGGGTCTTAATTCGGATATTTTGGTGCAAAGGAGGGTATAATACTATTCATTAACGACTATTAATATATTATTATCCTTATTATATATTACTTATCTCCTCAATTAGATCCAAAAAACACCCAATTTTGTCGAAAATCATCGATTTTCGATCAAACTGTAGACCCCCAAATTTTTGGATATCCGAGCTTTTCCGAACAACAAAAAGCTTTTATATAGGGAGTAGCTACGTAGTTCGATCCCCCTAACTAAAGAAACCGCGTGAGAAAAGACTCAGTAGAAGTTGGAAAAAACCAAAATTTTTCGGTCAAAATTTCGATAATTTTTTGAATTTTGTCAATCTGTTTTGGGGATCGAGTTTTTGAGTTTTTAGAGTTAGAGCAATAAAATTTTTTGCGTTAGGAGCGTGCTAGCATAACGTGCTCGGTTACTAGAGAAATTTTTGGGTAACCCTCCGAGTAGCTCCGTGGATAGAGCTAACGACTTAAGGTTTGGAAAAGGAAGGAATCGGAGGGTCCAAATTTGATAGTTTTTGGCCAAATTTTTGTTTCTAAACCAATTTTGGTCCGGTTTTTTGCATTATTCCAGTGCCGTACAGGGATACTACGCTCATTTCAAGTATTTTTAGGCACTTTCGACCGGAATTGCGAAAAAAGTCTTTCAGATCCTATACAGGTGGTGAAAAAGGCCATTTTGACGAACGCGTTTTTGGCGATTTCTCAAAGACTAGTTATCCGATCGGGATAATTTTGGTACCATAAGTCGACGTTTTTGATCACTTTTCCGAATCGCAACCAATTTTGGGTTGATTATTTCGGAAAAGAAAATTTTTCTAGAATTTGTTGGTTCGGAGGGTCCAAATCACGGGCAACCCTCCGAGCGGCAGAAAATTTTATCAAATTATCTTTTTATTCAACTGGGAAGGTTGACCGTGTCAGCCAACCTAGTTTTAAGTCAGGTAGACCGCTTTCAGAGGCTTTACTGCGGTGATATAACCCTTTTTCTTGATTTTGGGGGAACCCTCCGAAGTGACCCTCCGGAGTCAGCTAAACCCTTTAGCAACCCTCCTTAGTGGAAAATTTCCACGAGATCACCCTAAGAAGTTAAAACAGCTCCCCTTAGAGCTCCTAGCTTGTTTTGACGCTTTTTGAAGCGAGGGGGAGAACCTTCTAAGCGAGATCGAAAAATTTGAAAATTTTGGAGGTACCCTCCGAAGTAACCCTCCGGAGCATATTAAGCATCTTATTGACCCTCCTTAGTAAATTTAGGGGGACCCTCCGAGGTAACTTGGGTGATCAAGGCACCCTCCGAGGTAACCCTCCGGAGTGTCTTAAACCTTCTAACGATCTTCCTTGTTAGAGACTTGAGTAAACTTTCTGTGGCAATTTGGGAAACGGAAAATATCCATTTAATTAAGATCATATTAGGATATTAGGCGTGCTTATCAGGATCATAAGAACCCATTCTGACCCGGAAATTCGTGATCAACTTTGGATTCTACATTGGGTGTATCAGAAGTACCCGAACAAAGAATTTTTTTTTGATTGTGATTTAGGTTGTGTGGTTGCCTTGAGCTACTTAATAGGAAAGTTCGGGCAATCCGGGAACAAATAAAAGAAGACATCGGTGAGTGTATTAGGCAAATACACACTCACTTGAGAAGAAAAGTTGTTCCCTGCTCTCGTGCACTTGGAGCGTTCCGGGTGTGGGGGAGCTTTTTCATAGACTTTTGAAGAATTTTCGATCAGAGGTTGCCTTGAGATACTTAGTAGGACAGCTCGGGCAATCGCAGGACACCTAAAAGAAGACCTCGGTGGGTGTATTAGGCAGACACACACCCACTTGAGAAGACTGTGTCCTGGGCTTCGTTCTTTCGGATCGTTCCGATTGGGGGAAGTCTTTTTCTTTAAGACTAAGTTTTATTAATCTATTTCTGAATCATTACTGCTTTTTATCAAAGATTGTTTAATTTTACCAAAGCAGTGACTTGATAAATTGTGTGGCGATAAATTGATACTGACAAAAGGTCGCTGTCACC